ATGGCATGATCAAATTTCACACAATAGCTATTCAATTACTGTATAGCACAACAGCAATTTATTCTGAGTTATACTTGGCTGTTATTGAGATCGATTGACCTAGTTGGTAAAAGCTTCACATTGACTGGATTCTTTCAACAACAATAACTTGCAATAACATAGCGCCTTTAATGTAATAAGCTGCCTCAAGGTAATTCACAGGGGCATTATAAAACAAAATATAACACTGAGCCACATAACAAAACACTAGGACAGCTAAGTGAAAGCTTTTGATTAAAGACATACATTCTAAGGAATGTCTGAAAGAAGGAAAACCATGGAGATTTTTACAAAGAGAATTCCAGAGCTTAGGGGGTCATGTAGCTGAAGGTGCAGCCACCAAAAGATGGAGTAACTAAAATGTGGATTTTCAAAAGGCCAGAAGAAGAGAAATTTTAAACCTTACCTGTGATTATTTATCTACCCAAATCCAGCAGCATGAAGTCCTAAAAATTTTTTAGCTTGAGGCGCATTATCATGTCATCAATGGGATGGCCCAATATTCAATAAGTGCAAGAAAGCTGCGCATGAAAGTGAAAATCTGGGAGCTCGATTAATTGGAGGAGCCTGAAATTGGTACCTGAAGAACTCAAGGGGGATTGAAGGGGTTTGAAGTGTGAGAAACCGTGGGGAAGAGGGGAGAGGGGTGAGGAAGGGAGTGCAGAGGAAATAGGGGTTGTGGTGGATAAGGGGGTGGAGAAGGGGAGGGGGAAAAGGGAATCCACCTACTGCAGGCCAACGCATGCTTCATTGAATGCTGGGGTTTTGTATTATTCATAGCACCTGCATCTTTGTGTGGGGAGTGGAACACGATTCTGAATGGGTATATGTTATGTATATATGCTGAATGTTGCTGCAGAAATAATGGTTACACCAGTGTTATTATGGTAGTAATTTCAGCAGCATTATCTAACACATGCAGTTAAACATGAAAATCAGAAAGTTGTTGACCATGTTGGCTTGACCCTCCAGAAGTTTTGCAATACATTTATCTCATCCTGTGACTCAGCAAGGAAACATGAAATTGTGACAAATACCTATAGACACACCAAAACAAGCACTTGTCCACTCCAGTGACAGTAATTGTTCAATTACACGGTTACTGCAAAATACTACAATGCTGAAAATTAATTTTTACAAATGTTGAGATTCATTCACCCCTGGTTTTAATTATTGCTCAAGATTTTTTTTAAAATTGTTTAATTCTTTTATAAAAACCCCATGTTTAAAAAAAAACTTTTCTTTCCCTCTTTTTCTATTTTGCTTTTTGCATCAGATTTGATAGTGAATTAATTATTTCCAACAACATTTTGCCCTGCTTATTTGCAATCTGCTTAAGGAAATGCAAGGGGTAGTAAGAAGTGCCGATGCTGGAGTCAGAGATAACACAGTGGGGAGCTGGAGGAACACAGCAGTCCAGGCAGCATCAGAAGAGCAGGAAAGCTGACATTTCGGGTCGGGACCCTTCTTCAGAAATGGGGGAGGGGGAAGGGAGCTCTGAAATAAACAGAGAGAGGAGGGGTGGGGCTGGGGAAGGTAGGTGGGATGGTGATAGGTGAGTGCAGGTAGGCAGCGGTGGGGATCGGTCAGTGAGGTGGGAGGAGCGGATAGGTGGGAGGGAAGACGGACATCTAAGGAAATGCAAGGTTGCTTGCCCTATTCACATAGTTCCCAGATCCCCTGTAAATGGGTCCTTCACCAATCTGGTTTACTAATTCTCAGCAGGTGCCAGTCATGCTCGATCCCATGGGATGTCTGTGGGCAACAGTAGGTGTCATAAAAGGTTGGTGCTGCTTAGTCACCACTTAGAGCCTGCAACTTTAAAATTTTCCCGACTGAAAATATGCAAGTAGAATAAAAAACACAATAGCTACATTGTTACTGGGAGTGGTGAAGAAGGAACTAGGTAAATCAATGGATTGAAGGACGACATAATGAAGGATTACTGGCAGAGGAATTCAATTTCCATGCAAAATGGGGTCATGTGGGCAGAGCCACCACCTAATGACGTGGATAAGAGGAACAACACAAATTTGGCTTCATGCCTCGTTTGATTACAGTTGATAAACAGACAGCGATAGTCTCAACAGTTGCTAGCGACTTGCCCTCTGGGACTGCAGGATCATTGTGCAACAGTGACAGCATTTAAAGGAAGACTTCAACTTGAGAAGTACTTCTCCTGTTCTGTGCATCTCTGTGTTTGAAAGTGGGAAAATACAGTGAATGTGAGGGCCACAAAAGCCAGAAGACTCCCCAGCCCTGCACAGGTTCAGCAGCTAAAAGAAAGGGGCCCAGTTTCTGGCTGACGGGAAAGCGGTGTCAAAGCAAACAGTTTGGCAGCAGTAGGCTGACACGATTGAGTCAGCAAACACAAAGTGTATAATATCTAGGATCTGACTGAAATGTAAGGAAATAAAAATCAAACACCTCACCAGAACTATTAAGATTCAGACTCGCATCTCTCTTATTCTGTTCGACTTGGATAACCTGTCAGCTTCCAAGCTTTCACTTCTTTGCTTTTCAATTGTGGCAGCACATTTTAACTCAACTTCCATCCATTGCCTCTTGCATGCTCTGCACACCATCCTCACAATTATTCTCCTCACTTCCTCAACTCAATGCCTTTCATGCACTTTCCATACAAGTCTAGCTTCACATTCACATTTTTCATAACCTTTCAGCAGATCAATCATCCACTATCAGACTCCATTCTCCCTGGCAGGACAAGGTGGGATGTAGTAAAATAATGGGCAGCAACTGTCTGGGCTTTTAATGAGTGGTCCAAAGGACTACTCCTGCATCTCCTGGATCCATGTTCAGGTTTTGACAACTTAACATTTTTACATAACTTACTATTGTTGGTTCGGCAGTCTTCAGCCAAATCTTTTAGGCTGCTCATCAGACCAGATGATGGCCTGACTTTCATTGAACACGTGAAAGTGGATTGGTGATCAGTTATGGAGCCTTTTGATGACAACTTTGCACAGGCCAGTGTTTTGGAAGCTCCAGGTTCAAACATCCTGCAGCCTGCTAAGTTTGAAAGGAAGCATGGTCAGGGGCTCCCAACATATCAGTAATAGCAGGCATCTTGCTGGTTGCCAGGATGTCGAGGTATCCATACTTTGCTTCCATACTTGGCAGGACAATGTCAAGTGACCTCAATGGGCTCATTAAACTTGCTTACAAATATAAAACTCAATGGCAGGCCACCCTGACGCTTGGATAAGTAATAGAAATAAAGTGTATATACTTACGTTAAAGACATCAGCTCAGTGAAAACATTGAAATGATGTTGCTGTAATTCAGGTCTGCTGCATTATCAGCATCAAAAACTAAACTGTATGACAGAAAAAACCAGAAGGGAGCAGCAATTAACCTGCCTGGCAGCATTCACCCCTCTGTTTCCCAGTAAAAATGAAGGAGTAATAATGAAATAGCTACTGTCTATTGGTTTACAGGATATGGATGTCACTGGTGAGGCAAGTATTTACCATCCATTCCCAATTGCCCAGAGGACAGTAAAAAGTCAACAACATAGGGCGGCATGGTGGCTCAGTGGTTAATATTGCTGCCTCACAGCACCAGGGACCTGGGTTCGATTCCACCCTCGGGCGACTGTGTGGAGTTTGCACATTCTCCCCGTGTCTGCATGGGTTTGCTCCGGTTTCCTCCCACAGTCCAAAGATGTGCAGGCTAGGTGGATTGGCCACGCTAAATTGCCCGTAGTGTTCAGGGATGTTAGATTAGGTGGGTTAAATGGGGATGGGTCGGAGTGATATGCTCTAAGGGTTGGTGTGGACTTATTGGGCTGAAGTGTTTCCACACTGTAGGGATTCTATGTCTATGTAACATTGCTGTGGTTCTGGAATCAGAGACAAAGTATGGACAGCAGATTTCCCTCCATAAAGGACATTAGTGAACCAGATGGGTTTTTACAACAATCAACCCTGGTTACCATGAGGTTAGCTTTCATAGAATCACTAAAAGCGGAAAGAGAGCATCTGACCCAAATCCACCCCTGTAACTCTGTATGGGGTTTTTAACCATGGCTAACCCACCTAACATGCTACCCTCACCCTGATGTGTGTGGCCGCATCAAGCTATGCATAGATTCTTGGTATTGAGGTTCTACCTATTCCCGGTGTTGTGAAGGATAGGCCTGGTCTCTTTGCTGTGGAATGCTCCAAGTAATCGGACTGTCCTGTATGAACTGTCCTTTGTGGAGAAATTTGTGAAGAAAAACGTCTTTGACAACAAGTCCATCAGGCAGTGGTCAGCATGTAGCATCTTCAAGACCTTTCGGGAAAAGGAGAGGGTGGATCTTGTCCAGTGGTTTTCTGTGCAGACTGCTGAAGTCATTTGGCAGAGTGCCTCATCACCAGGACGCTCCTACAAACACCAGGACATTGCTTGGCTGGTGGTGATTAGGGCTCTGCCCGTGAGATCCTTCACGCATGCCCGGGCTCTCTGCACCTCGAAGTACTGCCCTCGAAGTGGCTGCAGAGGGAACAAGACTGTCACACACCTCCTTCTGGAACGTACCTATGCAAAGGAAGTGTGGAGAGAAATGGCAGTGGTTTGTGTCAAGGTTTGTCCCAAGCAGCTCCATGGCACGGGAATCTGTACTCTACAGGCTGTTTCCCGGGACACACAGAGACAAACATCAGCTGTGTCTGGAGGACCATCAATGCGGTGAAAGAATCTCCTTGGTCTGCCTGAAACTTGCTGGTCTTCCAGTTGAAGGATTTGACCCCAACTGAGTGTTGCAGACTGGCACATTCCAAGGTCCAGGACTACTTCCTGAGGGACGCAATAAAGCTTGGGCCAACTGCTGCCAAGGTGCAGTGGGGAAAGACCACCGTGTAAGGTCCTTCTGCCAAAGTAAAACAGGGGGTTTATTCAGTAACCAGCCCCTGCTGATGCCTCAGCTAAATGCTGAGAGGTTATTTGTAAATATAAAGAAAGGCGAACACCAATGTTTATTTTATTCTCTGTAATACAGTATAGACCAGAATGACTTCATTAACTGTGTATGTACATAAAGATTTCCTTCTATGAATAAAGTATATTTTTGCAGTTAAAAAGAAACACCTAACATGCAAATCCCTGAATGCTATAGGTCAGTTTTTCGCATGGCCATTCCACCTAACATGCTCATCTTTGGACTGTGGGAGGAAACCGGAGCACCCAGAGGAAACCCACCCAGACAATTGCCTAAGGGCTGGAATCGAACTGGGGTCCCTGGTGCTTTGAGGCGGCAGTGCCTTGCTTCCAATTCCAGATCGTCTCAAAGGTGTGATTTGAACTCGTGGCCCCAGAGCATTAGTTTGGTCGTGGATGACTACTGCAGTGACATTACTACTACGCCACAACCTCCCCTTAATATTGGTGGAATTGTTATGGACAGGCAAACATTAAGGCATAATACAATGGTGACCTCATGAAAATAAATCTACCCACAAGATAGCAAATGCTTCTTGATCACACAAGAAGTTGTCACATAAAACTGGATCATTGTAACAGATCTTCAAGCAGACAATAAGAACATTTATCCTTCTATTTCTCTCACTTGTTTTTGTTGTATATTTTTTCCAATTATTTTTGCCCAGTGAGAAGACATGGATACAATTCATGGAAGGCAAGATGTTACAATGATATTCACTTCTGATTCCAGAGGTGCATCCCTACGTAAAAAAAACAAGAAATCAGAGGGACAATTTGGGGTTTGGTTGTGGGTTGGGAATGGCAAAGAGGAACAAGAGTTACACACAAACAAAGGAACCAGATTCTCCTCATCGCTCTCTGTGGATATACATGTGGAATTTCACTTATATCAATTGATGTGGAGGCAGTTCAGACAAGATCCAGATGATTAACTCCAGTGATGAAAGATTTGTTTTATGAGGAGAGATTGAGCACCTTTGGCTTATACTCGCTAGAGTTTAGAAGAATGAGAGGAGATTTAATTGAAATATATAAGATGCTGATGGAAATTAACAAAGTAAACGTAGAGTGGATGTTTCCCCTTGTGGGGCAATCTAGACTCACACGGCATAGTTTTAGGATAAGGAGTAACAGATTTAAACAGTGATGAAGAAGAATTGCTTCTCTGAAAGGGTTGTGAGTTTAAGGAATTCACTACTCCAGCGTGTGCAGCGGATGTCAGGAGATAGATTTTTAATGAGTAACAGGTTAAAGGATTATGGGGATTCGGTAGGAAAGTGGAGTTGAGGCCAAAATGGGATCAGCCAGGATCGTATCAAATGGTGGAGCAGTTTGAGGGGCTAAATTGCCTCCTCCTGCTTCTAGTTTTTATGTCATTATGCCCTTAGACATCACACCTTCGTCCGTATCAGCTCAGTGAAAATGTTCAAATTATGTTGCTTTAATTGTGATCTTCTGCATTATTACCATCAGAAATTAAAACTGTACGACAGAAAATCCCGCAGGGAGCAGCAATTAACCTGCCTGGCAACATTGACCTGACTGTTTCCAAGTAACAACAAAGGAATAGTAATGAAATAGTAACCTAACATATATCCAGAAACAACGAAGAAATCAAAGTCACAGTCACAGTTTCCTGTCTGTTCTGGTAGGAACTGTCTTTTGAATCTTCTCTCTGTAGAATCTGTAATCACCAAGGTTGTTGTCTTGAGGAGTCAACAGTTAAGATTCTTTCCTTTTTCATAACTTTGTTACAAATTGCATTCTTGGAAATTCCAATGTACTTCTACTGATTCGTGCGCAATTGATAATCTGGAATACAACACAGAGACATGAAGCAATCAGAGGGAAACTGCCAAAGACAAGTAGCAAACCATTATCTCCCAAATACAAAATGTCTCCTTTCCCAAATACTAACCTTCACATTTAGATTTAAATTTGTACCAAAATCCTCAGTTCAGATCTCATGTTCATCCAGAAATATTCACTCTATCCTTCCAGGTTCCCCTTTGGTGACAGCAGATAGTGGAACTTGTTTAGGATCGAACAGCTGTAATCTCTTTTTATAATGTGATGACTTTTATTTACACAAATGTTTGCTTAGATATCATTACTCTAAAGACGCTGCTGGATTGATTACACCTGGGAGATCACGGTACAGATCCACATTTCAGGTGTGCGTTAACACTGAAATACTTCAATAGCAATTATACCTTTACAGCTCAAGGGTGAAAATATTTCCATTTGAAATTACAGAAACTCTAATAGAAATTCTCTGGTGCCTCAATACATTTTCAATGCTCTGCATTTTCACAATCTATATTTTTATAAGGCATCCAGCTGGGTTTTGGGGGCAGGATGACAGTTTTTAGCTCTCTGTGTGATATGGCAAAAGCCCTAAACAGCAACCTTTTCCCATTGTGCCTATGCAACAGCTGAGCCAATCCTTATTGCATGCCTCAGCACATATTCCTGGATCTCAGATTGTGCCACCTTCCAACACTTGACTGAGGAAAACTCCTTGCACTGGAAGGCCAACAAGTTTTGTGCAGACCAGTGAGGGTCTTACACGGAGTTGATAGTCCTCCAGAAGCAACTGATGTTTGTGTACCTGATATGGAATATAAATATCATGTCTATTACAGTTGTGCTGAATGGAATATGCTGTTTGTGGACAAGTTGAATTTTATTACAAATTATGTAAGATTCAAGTCAATAATTTTGTATGTATTTTTACAAATTTACGAATAAAGTATATCTCGGGGGGAAAAAATGGTAATACCTCTACAGGTTTACAAGGATGATAGTCTCTAGAGTAGTGTAAAAATGTGATGGTTTCCAAAAATGTTTGCAGTGGGAAAATGCACTCCTGCCATTTATCTGGCTTCATGAACATTTCCAAAGTGTGGTTTTAGCTGAGAGTTTAAAGGATGGAGCAAGTGACATGGAGGTTGAAACTAGTGGTTGCCAATCCTTCATACTTATGGATTCTTCAGGAATTAAAGGATAATCTGCTGGATACTGGCGTGGGCAACCCATAAAAATAGCATATGCAAATCAAACAAATGATATGATTTTTAAAAGATTTTTATTGAAGACATCAGTTTTTTCATAAAAAGTATTAAATATTTGAGTCATAGAGTCACACAGCATGGAAACAGACCCTTCAGTCAAACCTGTCTGCACTGACCATACATCCCAATCTGACCTAGTCCCATTTGCCAGCGTTTGGCCGATATCCCTCTAAACCCCTCCTATTCACGTACCCATCCAGATGCCTTTTAAATGTTGCAGTTATGCCCGACTCCATCATTTCCTCTGGATATGGAGATGGATATTGAAGCTAAAGCCAGGAGCTGGGAAATGGTAATACTGTTGATGACTTTTCACACATAGTTGCTTACCTCCACTCTGTGTAATATACCGAACCCAGGGAAGAGCTTGATAGCCACTCTTTTCAATGATTTTCAGATAGCGCACCTAGTTTAAAACAAACATGAGTATCACAAGCTCTTCATTATCCCTATATCTGGCATATTTTATTTTAATTTCTTGCATTTCTTTGCTGGACCTTTGTTAAGACAACTGAACAAATGTGCCTGAATTGTGGTAGGAAGAATATTGTGGCAACATAGGTAAAAGCACTAATTGCTTATGGATATTACAGTCGCACTGCAGTCATAAGGCAAGATTTTTTTCAAATGGTGATGTTTCCTTCCCATCCCAGCAGCCCCAAAGCCATTAATGCTCCAAGGAGCCTCTGGCCAAACTGATTGGCCAGTAGCTCTGTAGTCTGAATAGTGCTGGTGGCAGAAGTGGCCAGGACTGGGATTACAAGCAGTCCTCAGATTCTAAGATCGCAACTAGATAAATGCAGGGGAACTTACATTGGGGAGGGAAGGTGAGGCCCAGGGGACAGGTGGAGTGATCTGGGGTTCTCGTTGGAGATGCTGGGGGTTAGGTGGTGGTGGTGGGTGAGCTGCTGTGAGGGCTATGACCTTGGGAGGACAACTTCAATTATAGAAAGGGGCCCATCACACCCAAGGCCCGAGATGAGTGAACAGCTGGACTTCATGTCTTATATTTGAGCCGCTCCCATCAGCTTCAAAATAGAGGCCAGGCAGAAAGTGGCCATCAAGCAGCCAATAATTCACAGCTTAAGGGTCTTAGTTGGGCAGGTAATACTGGGGACAGGTTGCATACAAGCAGCAGGATTTCATGAGACCCCCAAGGGAATTTCGCAGACCGTCCTCTTATTAGTCGAGGCTCAGAGTTTAAAAGCAGTGAGGTTATACTGTAATTGTATAAAACACTGGTTAGGCCTCAACTAGAGCATTGTCTGCAATTTTGAAATCCACTGGATAAGACGGGATGTGATAGCACTGGAGAGTGTGCAAAGGAGATTTACTAGGATGTTGCCTGGGCTGGAGAGTTTATGAAGTGACTCCTCCCCTTCCCTCCCCCGTCACTGTTCCCCCCACCCCAGCACTCCTCCCCTTTCCCCCCCGTCACTCCTCCCCATTCCCCCCCCCCACCGTCACCCCACCCCGTTCCCCCCCACACCGTCACTCCTCCCCGTTTCCGCGCCCCCCACCGTCACTCCTCCCCGTTCCCCCCTCAATCCTTCCCTTTCCCCCGGCACTCCTCCCCTATCCACCCCGGCACTCCTCCCCTATCCCCCCTCACTCCTCCACGTTCCCCCAAACTGCATACTGCCCTCCTTACTGCTGCTGTAGATTTGTCTGAACTGTGCTGCTCTAAACCTCATCGCAAAGTGAATTGGGTGAAGCTCTTCTATTCCTAAATAATCCTAATTCCAATTTACCTTTAAAAGTACCAAGAAAAGAAAGATTACACAAAAATAATTTGAAAACACTCACCTGAATCCCAGACACAGTGAAATACGGAATTTCAAATTTGACAGTGATGGGCGGCTTCCCCTCCTGTTCCTCACCCTCCACACTTGGGAGACCAAAGTGAGCCCGCATCAAGTACTCTTTGCCACCCTTAACGTAACAAAAGTCACAGGAAATGAGGAGAGGCTGATGATAAAGTCCTGAAAGAGGTGCTTGGATTATAGTGATGCTAACCAATCTGGACTACGTTTCACACTCCCACTGATATGATTGAAGTTCATAAATTAACTCCAAGTGATGACTCACAGACAGAAAAGATAAACAGTTGTGTTTAAATTAAAAACCGAAAGAACTGCGGATGCTGAAAAACAGGAAGAAAAACAAAGTTGCTGGAAAAGCTCAGCAGGTCTGGCAGCATCTGTGAAGGAGAAAACAGAGTTAATGTTTAGGGTCCGGTGACCCTTCCTCAGGTTCTCATTAACTCTATAATCCAAGCACCTCTTTCTTCCTGCATTTAAATTACGCTAACCTTATTACTTTCTCTATTTTGGTTTATTTGGGCTGAAGGAGCTATTATTGGGATCAAAAGTAGGCCATTCAACCCCTCAACTCTGCTCCATCACTTACTAAGATCATGGCTGAGGTGTTTCTTTTACAAATTCCAATTCCCATTTCCCTCCAATAACCTTTGATTCCTTCACTGGAATTTATCTACCTCTGCTTTAAAAATATTCAAATACTCAGCAAACTATTTCACAAAATCTAAAGTATAGATCTCTCTGTTACAATGTTCAGCTGTCAATGTTTCCCAGTCCTACAATTGAGTGCGCAAGGCAAGTGAACGCACTACTTTATATCACCATGGGTTTGAGTTATGAAATGCTGCCCCGCTCTAACATAAATATTTTCTGCCTTACTCACAGGAAAAGACTTGATCGACCAGAGGACAGCGTTTTTTTCTGGTACCCATTTTGCAGTGCCCGTACTTGTCTTGAATTTTGGTGAATCAGCATCACTGGGAACTGGTACTAAAATCTCAACATTGTTTGCCGTAGAACGGTGTTTAAATTGACTCTTAGCCTGAATTTGGGCAGGTAGAAAACTCTGAGTTATGAAGTGAGTTACAAGTAAACATACAGATACATAACAATGATATGACAATATGCAGTAACGAGATAAATGACTAAAAACCACACACATATGTACACATGTGCACACATTCTAGAACAAAATTAACCATTAGATGAAAAAAAAATTCCATGCTAATTCTATGGAAGAAAAGACAGAGCAATGACACACCATGACAGAGAGGTCTGAGTGAACCTTACAGTCACTTGTGTCCAGAATGACTGAGCTAAGTTGAACCCTGTAATGCTCTTGTTATTATTTCATTTGTGCAATTGGCTGTCAATCTTCTGCTTCTTTCTACATTCTACATTCTACAACTCAAAAATTGAGTTGCTTTCCTGTTTGATTTACCTTTGCAATAAAATGCTGACCTTTCCTTTCTCAAGGTGCTTCTTTTGTCCTCACCTCTGTGAAAAGCAAAAAGCCAGCTGGCACCACCCTGTTTTCTTGAGAAGTAAAAGTGCCTGGTGTGAGATTGAGGAGCCTCATCCCCATCTCGCCCTGCCATTGATGCTGAGCATCCATAGCTAGATGCATAGAGGGCAGGTCTGACTGCATATCTGGCAGCTCCTAAGTGTTCTGCTGGGCATAGGTTTCCAAGGCTCCTGCCACCTCTCCATGAAGACAGACAAGCTCTTGAATTCTGCTACTATAAGACATTAACACAGCACCAAGCCCTACAGCCATAAATTCAACCAACCCCCCACCCACCCCAACACTAACACTGACCCTTCACTGTTTCCTACAGTCACGGAAATCCTGCTTTGGGATCTTGCTTTGCCTTCTGCGCTAAATTGCCATTCTGAGACAATTGCTGCTCCATGATCCTCCTGCTAAAGTGCCACCCATGAAGGTGAAGTGGGTACATCGCCGTTCTCCATTTGGGTGGTGTGCTGGTCCAGGGACACACCCTGCTTGATGACCATTGGGAAGTGGATGTTAATTCTTGTCATAAATGGGATGCCAATGCATGTATATAGGCTTCTCACCACCTGATGTCAAGAAAATCATCTCACTACCATAGGAAGGAGAACTTAATTTATTTCAACAGTGAGAGTCTGATTTTTTTGACACTTTTTTTTTATTTATTCATTCACAGGATGAGGGCATCGCTGGCTAGGCAGCATTTGTTGCCCATCCCTAATTGCTCAGAGGGCAGTTAAGAGTCAACCACAATGCTGTGGGTCTGGAGTCACATGTAGGCCAGACCAGGTAAGGATGGCAGTTTCCTTCCCTAAAGGACATTAGTGAACTAGATGGGTTTTTCCCCCAACATTTGACAATGGATTCATGGTCATCATTAGACCCTTAATTCCAGATATTTATTGAATTCAAATTTCACCATCTGCCGTGGCGGGATTCAAACCCAGCTCTCCAGAACACTATTTGGGTCTCTGGATTAACAGTCCAGCGATAATACCACTAGGCCATTGCCTCCTCTACTTGCCCAATTAAGTTGCCTTGGTATCTAGGACACTCATGTTGCTGTTAGAGAGGGAGTTACCAGGATTTTGACCCAGTAATAGTGGAAGAATACTGAAATTAGTTCCCAGTTAGGATGATGGTTTGCACAGAAACTCGCAGGTGCTGGTGCTCGCATGGATCAGCTGCCCTTGTCCGTCTAAGTGGTAAAAGTCACAAGTTTGGAAGGTGCAATTGAATATGCCTTGCTGAATTTCTGCAGTGCATCTTGTGGATGGTATACACTGGTGAAAAGAGTGAATGTCTAATGTGGTGGATGAGGTGTTGATCAAGTGAGCTGCTTTGACCGGAAGGGGGTTCAAACATCTTGTGTGGTTAGAGCTGTATTCATCCAGATAACTTGGTAGTATTCCATCACATTCCTAACTTGTACGTTTTAAATGGCAGACAGGCTCTGAGAAGTTGAATTACTTGCCTCAGAATTCCCTGCAGCTGACCTGCTCTGGAAGCCATAGTATTTATGTGGGTGGCCCAGTTCAGTTTCTGGTTAATGGTAACCCAAAGGATGTTCATGGTTGGGATTCAGCAATATGAATGTCAAGTGGACATGTTTAAATTCTCTTTCTGGAGATGGTTATTGCCTAGCATTTGTACACTGCAAATTCCCATTTGCCACTTATCGGCCCAAACCTGAATGTTCTCCATGCCTAGCTGCAGAAGAACATAGACTGCTTCAGTATATGATGAATCAAGAATGATGCTAAACATTGCACAATCATCGGCAAACATCCCCAGTTCCGATCTTACAAGACATTCTGCAGCAGGGGTGGGGGTAGGAGGTTAGGTGATAGAGGGAAGAAATCATCCTGTGTTACTATTGCTGAGACTGTATGGGTAGCCATCAAATGAGGAGTGAGTAAGACTTAGTTACGGAGCTATCACCAGGGAATTAAGAGACATACAAAACCTTCTCAGTCTAGGCTAGCACATAGAGAATGATTATTTGGATCGAGGCTGCTGGTTTCTGGGTTTTTGTAGCCTGAAAATAAAGAGTGGAAGAATAGGAAGTTTGGAAAAGGAAAACAGCATCTTTTCCAAAGCAGATCAAGCTAGAATCCTGGTAGCTAATTAGCTCAGGTAGCTGGCTGACTGGTTTGTGCTGAGACCGAAGCCAACAGTGTGGGTTCAGTTCCCACACCAGTTGAAGTTACCATGAAGGACTTCCCTACTCAACCTCTTCCTCTCCCCGAGGCATGGTGACCCTCGGGTTAAACCACCAACAGTCCTCCCTCTCTAATGAGGGAGCTACCTAATGGTCTCGTAATCATAGAATCCCTACAGTGAGGAAGCAGGCCATTCAACCCATTGAGACCAGACCATCCCCCTGAAGAGCATTGAACCCAGACTCACCCCCCCAACCCTCTCCCTGTAACCCTGCATTTCCTACGGCTAATCCACCTAGACTGCACCTCCCTGGATACTACAGCATGGCCAATCCACCTCACCTGCACATTTTGGGCTGTGGGAGGAAACCCACGCAGACCCAGGGAGAACATGCAAACTCTGCACAGTTGCCGAGGCTGGACTGAAAAATGGGTCCCTGGCATTGTGAGGCAGCAGTGCTAACCACTGAGCCATCATGCCACCCAGTAAGGGCATAGTGACTTTATCTTTACAAAGATAGAGGGACCTACATCCCACTGACCAGCAGAAGCTTGTGAGGTGGAGGGCAGACTTCTCATCGGCAATCAACACAAGAAAATTTATGAAACTTGAATTAAAATACATCAATTTTCATTACCATTTCAATCTTACCTTTATCATAATTTCCACTCGACTGTGCGAATATTTCTCAATCACTGACTCAATCCAGATCAAGGGCTTTACCTGCAAAGTAATATCTTGTCTCAAATAGTGTGCATGCAATACATTGAGAGAAATATCACCTGTGTAATAGAACACGCCATTTGTTACTCACTGATTTTTAACATTATTCAATAAAGAAATGGAATAGACATAGGCCTATTGACTACCATCATGCACTGAATTTCCAGACTGCAGGTATAGGCATCTCATAGAGAGTTTCAACTTCAATAGTTTGTTTGTACTAACTCCAGACCAGTGTATGCTTCTATATGCATAATATCTTACTCTATGTCTATATTAGGGCAAAGCAGACTCTGAGTTAGACCAACAAACAAATAAAATATTCACTTCTCAGAAGTGCACAAGAGGAAAATAATTTGTAACATCTCTAAATGACAATATGAAGTCTCAATTTCCCCAACAATATATAGCAAAACACTACTTGTCCTATTTTGTTTTAAAATGCAACTGCAAGCTGTAGTTTAAAATTTTGCTTGCAATTATGCTCTTTTTATCTTGCAAAGTACTGGAATGAACCTTCCTGCATGGAGGTACCAGTGCACCCCATGCCAGAATGTATGTTTATCAATGCCACATGTGGACATGTCACAGACTCGACTTTTCGTTTCCCAATTCAGCTTGTGAACATGTAACATACCTGAGTGTACAGCCGATAAGACATAAGTTCAAACTCTCCATCTGGGGGGATGAAGGATATGGTTCGATCGTTTTCAAAGCGAGACAAGCGCACACATTGATGAAATTTTACATCTTCCAGTTCCACAGATTTAGCCTTGTCCCCTTATGTAAAAAGACAAACAGTTAAAAGTGTAACCAAGGTGAAGTCTTTGCAAGATGAAGTGAGTTGTAGGTGAAAAGTCCAAATATGGGGCTTGGGTTCATTCATAGTGAAACAGTGGGAGTGAAGGACATTTATTGATCTAGCATCTTCAGACCACAAAACTTCCCTTTCTCAGCTTTATTGGATCCTCTGAAGGTAATGACTGGGAAGCAACATGTTACAGAGTCATAGAGATGTACAGCGTAGAAACAGACTCTTTGCTCCAACTTGTCGCTGCTGACCAGATATCCTAAATTAATTTAGTCCCATTTACCAGCATTTGGCCCATATCCCTCTAAACCCTTTCTATTCATATACCCATCCAGATGGCTTTTAAATGTTGTACTTGTACCAGCCTCCACCGCTTCCTCTGGCAGCTCATTCCGTACTTGCACCACCCTCTGTGTGAAAAACTTGTCCCTTAAATCCCTTTTAAAACCTTCCCCTCTCACCTTAAACCTATGCCTTCTACTTTTGGACTCCACTACCCAGGGAAAAAGACCTTGGCTATTCACCCTATCCATGCCCCTCATGATTTTGTAAATCTCTATAGAGGTCACCCCGCAGCCTCCAATGCTCCAGGAAAAATAGCCCCAGCCTATTCAGCCTCTCCCTATACCTAAAGCCCTCTAATCCTGGCAGCATCCTTGCAATTTTTTTCTGAATCCTTTCGAGGTTCACAATATCTTTCCAACAGCAGGGAGACACAGTATTCTCCAAGTGGCCTGACTAACGTCCTGTACAGCTGTAACATGACCTCTCAACTCCTATACTCAATGTACTGACCAATAAAGACAAGCATATCAAATGCCTTCTTCACTACCCTGTCTGCCTGCTACTCCATTTTCCAAGGAACTATGAACCTGCACCTCAAGGTCTCCTTGTTTGGCAACAGTCCCCAGGACCTGACCATTAAATGTATAAGTCCCACCTTGATTTGCCTTACCAAAATACAGCACCTCACTTTCAAAATTGTTTCACTCTGAAAATCTGTTGTAGCTTTAATTCCAATATTGCACAACAGCTGTTCTTCAGCTCTTCCAACATCAAGTCCAACACAGCTGAGGGAATTCCAAAAATAAACCTGCTGAACTTCTTATAAGCCCAGCTGCTGTTCTTTTTATTATGTCTATTTGATGGCCTGCTTTAGAGAATGCTTCACTTAATTTACTATGGGATTACTATAGGATTTAAGCCCTCCCAAACACCAGGAGATGGTGGCCACAACATTGGTGCCATATTTATCAACATGGAAAAATGAACCAATAGCTAAAACAAATAAACTTTGCAATGTTAACACTGTATTCCACAGCAATACATAGTGATTTCATTGCTGCAATGATTTGTGAATAGTACAAGAAAACTCAAAGACTATCATGACACAATGAGACTGGTGGACCAAATGTCACCCTGAGGAATTGCACAAGGCAACATCCAAGATTTTGCACAGCAATATGTAATTGCATTACATGTCTGTTATTTGTATTTGATTACCTTCAGAGTCTATGCAAAGAAGACAGATCATTTCAGTCCATCAGTAGATAAGCACAAGTACTATTCAGCTGAAATGTTGTGAGCGTAGAAAGTAGAAGCTAAGAAATGGGGAGGATGGTAGAACAAGGAGGGGAAAAGTATCAAATGCTGAAAATTATCTCCGACAGTCATTTACAATGTACAGTAGGGAAAGCCAGCTGAGCATGTAGGTTCAGCTCTGACCCAGAACATGGCAAGTGCAATAAGGGACACTAGCATGAATACACAAGAAAGAGTGAATAAAAAAAACAAAGAAATGTCACCAACTCTTCTGAAACAATCAATGCTTGCCAACCATGAGGCATGCCAATATACTTGACTCTCTAAGCAAGTCTCGACAAATAAACATGGTGCACACATGAATAAAGTGAAGTTGATGTAATGCAAATTATTTACAAGTGCAACTTTATTTTGAAAAAACACCTATGTCACATTTGTGTTCTCAACTAACGTTACATTAAAGGCAAAGATGTTGTGCAGGAAAGTCATGGTTGTGACACAGAGCTTCCATGTTTCTCTTGGAGGCTTTCTTATAGCCGCCAGTACCTGCTGCATTGTCAGTGGACAGTGAGTTTCACCAATAGAAAACTTCCCTGATTGTGTGATCACGTGTCTCCTGTGCATGTTGCAACCATTTGGAAACTGGAATGATATTGGAATCACTAAAGACGAGAGAATGGTATTGGTACCAACTTCCTATTGTGCCACTGGGAATGACATGGGAAATGGTATGCCATGATTCAAATTCCACCTAAAAGCTCATTTCTCCCCAATTCAGACTCTCACCCATTGTACTGTATTAGCATTTTGCCATCTGGAGTTGTAATAATTAAAAACCATTATTCATCTGCCTACCTAAATTGTGGTCGCAGTTTCTATTGTTTTGTTTGTTTAATTGTTTCCTGCATCCATTTTGCCTTCTTGACCAACATTTCCCCAAATTGCAGCTGTCTGAAGTCAAAATCCATTGCAAAACATTCTTACTGAAAAGTAAAGTCACCATAGTCCTAGAGCACCATTGGGCTGTTCTCTCAAACTGAGACATGACTGGTAATGAGCTTAACCTGAGGGTCACCACATGTCAGGTGAAGGGCGGGTTTGAGAGGTGGGAACTTCATAGTAACCCAGTTGTTGCAGAAATTGTGCCTACATTGTTGGCATCACCTTGTACTGCAAACCAGCTGTCCAACCAACTGAGCTAACTGACCATCAAAAGAAAGGAGATGCCATGCAATGTTTGTATTTCTCACCAGACTCTAGCCAGAACCACATTCATATTTACAAATGGTACCAACATTTGATATAATCTGAATTTTACGTTAATCAAGAAGTGAACTTGGGCTCAAAGCAAATGCCACCAGTGTGGAATGAGCATTGTTTGTCCTTCTGTTTCTTGTGCTAGCATCAAACACCCTTTAGTCAGGTACAGCTGTAGTTTGTATCACAAAAAAAACTCCCTCTATATGGCCCACCATCACTTAACCCTGACCCCGAGAAAGGCATCCCTGATGAAACATTTCCATTTTCCATACTAGTCATCCTGTTATTGGAAAAGAGAGGGAAAGAGAGAGTACAGACATGATGGGCTGAATAGTCACCTACAGTGCTGTAAATAGTTCTCTGTTTAAGAGGCATCATTCAATCAGCCATGAGAATCTTATACCTTACAGGCAGAGCTAGTCTTAAAATTGATGGCTTAAAAATGATTGATAATCCTCCCATATCAGGGAGACAATGGCCTAGAAGTATTATCGCTGGACTGTAAATCCAGAGCATCCCAGAGAATGTTCTGGGGACCCGGGTTCGAATTCCACCATGGCGGATGGTGGAATTTGAATTCAATAAAAATACCTGGAATTAAGAATCTAATGATGAACACAGAACATAGTACAGTACAAGCCCTTTGGTCCATGATGTTGTGCCGACCTATAATCCTACTAATAGGATCAAACTACCCTGCATACCCTACATTTTACTATCCTTCATGTGCCTATCCAAGAATTGCTTAAAAGTCTTTAAAGTATCTGACCATGAATCTAATGTTGATTGTCAGAAAAACCCATCTGGTTCACTAACGTCCTTTAGGGAAGGAAACTGCCATCCTTACCTGGTCTGGCCTACATGTGACTCCAGACCCACAGCAATTAAGTTGACTCTTAACTGCTGACTGGGCAATTAGGGATGGGCAATAAATGCTGCCTAGCCAGTGACACCCTAGTCTCATGAATGAATAAAAAAATTACTTACGTCCAGAGATCTCAAAAAGAACCTTATCATTAAGACCGAGTCGTAGTTCAGGCATTCCTGAGAGAATGACCTTCAGCTTTACATTTCCAATAATCTCACTTTTCAGGACACTGCCATTCGCACTCACCTGGAGAAAGAGAAGATGATCAGTCAGCACGTGGGAAATCAGGATCACCGTTCATATTTACTAACACCTACACCCTCTCAGGTTTACAGCAGGCATACGTAGCCACACATACTAGACCCTTTATGCTGGATTCGGGGTGCTACACAACAAAAGTACCCTTCAATTAGGTTAACTGGTCTGTTCCAGTTCCCGCTCCATGGCCAACATGTTTTTTGATTGTATTTCCTCATACCTCACAGCATCCTGGTGAATCTAAAAACTACGTCCTCTGTCACCTTAAAATGCTTCCTACTGTATGAAATCCAAAACTGCAATTGTTTTTACATCTAAAAGGTTTTATATAGATTCACCATTACATTTCAACTTTTATATTAGGTACCTCTTGTCATTGAATCGATAGTCTTCCCTATATGAGTGGGAAGGACATGAGCCTCTGGCCCAAATCACTCATTGCACATTCAAGTAACAGCAACTAGATGTAGGGCAATGTGAGTCAGCTGTCTTAGAATTTGACTTATCTTGAATCCCAAGAAATGTTTGAATAGAGTAATTAAACAGAAAAAGTTTGCACAAGCAGCAGAAGTTTTGTTTATGCAGCAGGTTGTTATGTCTGGAATGCACTGTCTCTAAGATGGTGGAAGCAGATTCCACAGTAAATTTTATCAAGAGAATTGGGCAACTACTTGAAAGGAAAACAAAGCATGGTTTGGGGAAAAGAGCTTTATAGTGGGACTATTTGGATAATTCTCATCAAAGGGCTGGCATGTGAATGCTAAAGCTGATACACTTCTTTCCTGCACCACACATCCACTTGATAAGCATCCCCACCACCACCTTCAACATTATCTTTCACCACCAAATCACTGTGACAACAGTGTGTACCATGTACAAGATGCACAGTTAAAAAGTCATGAAGTCTCATTCAACAGCATCTTCCAAGCTCATAGCCTCTATCACCTAGAACAACAGCAGCAAGTGCAAAGAAACACTACCACTTGCAAGTTCCTCTCCAAGCCATACACCATCTTGACTTGTAATTATATTGCTGTTCCTTCACGGATATGCGGAATTCTGTCACTACCACTGGGTCAAAATTCTGGAACACTGTCCTTATAGCATTGTGGGTGTACCTACACCATATGCAACAATTCAAGAAGGCTGTTCACCACTGCATTCTCAAGAGGAGTCATGGATGGATAAGAAATGCTAGCTAGTCAACGACATTACCATCTTGTGAAAAAAAATCTTTCTAGGATTCTAAATAAGACTCAAAGATTATAGAAGGAACTGTCTTAATCATGTAGTTCACAGTTCATATTAATATTTTAGAAATAATTTTGGGAAAATTGAAATAAGGGTGAGGCAATTAAAATGCTGGGTGTTAGAAATTGCTAGGTTATAAGACCACAACAGAAGCAGGCCATTCAGCCCATCGAATCTGCTCCACCATTCAATGAGATCATGGCTGAACTCATAATCCTCTGCAACACTTTCCTGCCTTTTTCCCATACTGAATAAAAATCTGTGTTTCTCACCCTTGAACATATATAACCCGGCCTCTTCAACCCTATGTGTTAAAAGAACTCCATAGATTCATTACACTCAGAAGAAATTCATCCTCAGCTGTTTTACACAGGCAGCCCCTTATTCCAAAATCATTCCTTCTGGCTCTAACTATACCACAAGGAGAAACAACCTTTCTGCATCTACCCTGTCAATCCCCAAGAATCTTGTATGTTTCAATGAGCTGTTTCTTATTCTCCTGAACTGCAATGGGTACAGGCTCAATCTATTCAGCCTCTCATAAGTCCATCCCTCCATACCCAGCAGCAGCCCAGTGAACCTTCTCTGGACTGCCTCACATGCCAATATGGAGAGGTGATGGCCTAGTGGCATTATCACTGGACTGTAAATCCAAGACCCAGATATTGATCTGGGAACCTGGGTTCAAATCCTGCCACGGCAGATGGTCGGATTGAATTTAATAAATATCTGGAATTAAGAGTCAATTGTCAGGAAAAACCCCATCTTGTTCACTAATATCCTTTAGGGAAGGAAATTGCCTTCCTCACCTGGTCTGGCCTATATGTGACTCCAGACCCACAGCAATGTGGTTGACTCTTAACTGCCCTCTAAGCAATTAGGGATGGGCAAAAAATGCTGTCTAGCCAATGACACCCTCATCCCATGAACGAATAAAGGAAAAAAAATTGTTTGATCAGAGGCCCAAAATCATTCAATATTCCAGTTGTATTCTGATTAGTGCCTTGTATTGTTATAACAACCTCCCTTAAATGTTAACTCTGATTTCTCTCCACAGATGCTGCCAGACCTGCAGAGCGTTTCCGGCAATTTTTGTTTTTGTTTCTGATTTATAATATCTGTAGTTCTTTCGGTCCCCATTTTTATACTCTGTTCTCTCTGAAATAGGGGCCAAAATTCCATTTGCCTTCCCTATTACCTGCTAAATTTAGGTGCTAGCATTTTTTTTTAAATTTATGCTAGAGGTCTTCCAAATCACTCTGTACTGCAACTTTCTGCAGTCTGTCTCCATTCAAATAATATTCAGCTGCTTTATTCTTCCTGCCAAAGTGCACAGGCTCGCATTTTCCAATATTATATTCCATCTGCCAAGTTTTTGCCCACTTATTTAACCCTTAGCAGACTCTAATTCATCCTCACCACTTGCCTTCCCACTTATTTTTCTGTCATCTGTAAACTTGGTTATTGTACACTCACTTTCTTCATCCAAGTTATTAACATGCTTTAAATAATTGTGGCCCCAGCACTGATCCCTATGGCACTGCACCAGTTGCAGGTTGCCATACCTGAAGCAGTGTCATTTCAAAGGTTTCTTAGTGTATATTTGAGCTCAAAGTTAGAAGGCTAATGAAGACATAAAATAACAGGTCTTTATTTAGCTAGGGAACTGTAATTAGTGGGTCTGAGGAGTATTTCCCCGATTTATCCTGATATTTAAATTATTCATGCAGACCTCAGGATCAAGCGGTTTGGTTTTGAAGCTAACAAATTTATGTAAATATCTATCAGACATCTCAACATCACAGCTCAATACCACCTTCTCAACTGCAACTATTAATGGCCAGAAGTCAGCGATGCTCACAACCCTTGAATGAATGTGAAAAAAATTAACTCTGTTGCCATAAAGATGAATTATTCAGGAGAAGCAAATGGAATTATGGAATGGGAGAAGAGAAAGGGTCAGGACAGTGGATAGCCCAAAATAAAAATGGAAAGTTTCAGTTGAGTTTAATTTTAAAACATAAAGGACTGTGGTTTTACTAAAATATACAGTGTGCGTAGTAACCCATGGTAGTGTTTCGTTAGGAACTTTTTTTTCCTCTTGGATAGTAAAATCATTTGTTTAAAACATGGAACCTCTACTTTTTTAGCAGATAACAGGAATTTCATGTTTCTCTTTACTTGGGGATCATAACAACTGACTAATGTCACTGAACCCAATGAGATGTAATTGCACACTGCAGTTTGCAACATTCCTCAATCAAATTTTTCTTTGGTAAATATTTAGCTTAGCTTGTAACAGTTTTCCATTTTTGCTGCTTGGAAAGAAAGGGAAGTCCTTTAATAACCCAATATTCAACTTCCATCAGCTTATAAAAGACACTTTTTCCTGACACATTTGTAGATTCAGAGAGCACAAAGAGGAAACTATTTGGCTTGTCATGTCTATGCCACAACTGAATGTGCCTCCATCACACACACATGCAGTGCATTTTCAATCCTAAGCACTTGTTGAGTATAAAAGTTATTCTTCATGTCACTTTTTTGTCAATTATCCTATATCGGGGTTCTCTGATTTGCAGCCCTTCTACGAATAGGATCAGTTTCTCCCCATCTACTCTGTCCTGAGCCCTTAGGATTTTGAAAACTTGTACAAATCCCAGCTCACCCTTCTCTTAGGAGAACAGTCCTGACTTTTCTAATCTGTCCTGCAACTTAGGTCCCTGTTTCCTGTCACCATTCTTGTAAATCTTTTGTTCATCCTTTTCTACCTATTCTTCCTGTAGCGTGGTGCCAAGAATTGGATACAATATTCCAGTTAAGGACGAGCCAGTGTTTTCCAAAGGTTCATCATAACCTTCTTGCTTTCCAGTCTACACTTAGGTTCAGAGCATACATTTAGCTACCAATAATTTCTAATTGATTTTAAGGCAATGTCATTTGGGAGCTTTTCAGAAAAAAAGAACAGAATATATATAATATTACCACATGAACAATACCTCATTAGAAAAGGATGCTACTTATTACACAGACTATTCTAATTGTGTCTCCTCTCTCTGTGCAACTCTCAATAAAGATTGAGATAGCTCACAAGATACCATTACTGTAGTCACCACTGCTCACCAGTAAATTGACAGATTCGATCAAATCAATGAATACTTCATTCTTTCGGTATTTGATACCCTCTGATCTCCAGGACACTGCATTTGTGAGCGTGGCAGGGGGACGGGGTGCTCCAATTTCCAGCTTGTGTCCCTGCTGGATGATGTACCTGAAAATCATGGGTTAAAAGTAGAATCCATTAAACAAACAGTGGAACTCTGCCAAAGTACAAAGAAGATGTATTTCAGACATATATCTTGGCATGCTTTAGTAACACGACAGACAAACTTAACCTTTCAACATGTGGCATGGGTGTCATACTGCCTTACTGAACTATTAATCCACAGCAAGGCAGTTCAAATGCTCAGGCATGGCAGTTGGAGAATTAAGATTATGAAATTAATGCTGACCATGACGTTGTTGGGTTCCAATAAAAAAAATCCAGTGGTCACAACTATCCTGGAGGAAAAGAAATTCACTGTTCTTACCCATCTTTGACGTGACTCCATTCCACATCAACACGGCCAAGCAAACCATTCAGTTACATCAACTCGATACAGTTACAGCATTTCAAGGAGGAACGCACTATCACCTCCTCAGGGATATTAAAAATGGGTAATAAGTGCATTGCAAGCAACGCGCACACCATGGGAATGTTTTTGTTTTAAATAAAAGGGTAAACACATTCCAATAAATCACACTATGCCGTCATTGAATCCAAGTTAACGAATTAACTTAAAATGGTATGGATAATGCAAAAGAACCATTTTAGTCAATTCAAAAAGACTCAAGAAACAGAAACCATTCTTTTTCTCAGACTTAGGAGGAGCAATTGGCTCTGTACCCACAAAGAAACTTCAGCCCTGTGCTTGGACCTTAGAGTCGTACAGATCTACAGCACAGAACAAGACCTTTCAGCCCACAGCCACAAGACTTGCTCATAAAGACCATAAGAAATAAGAATAGGAGGAGGTCATTTGGCCCTCGAGCCTGTTCTGCCATTCAACAGGATCATGGCTGATCTGACACTGCTCTTTCGCCATAACCCTTGATTTCCCTAACGATCAAGAATCTATCTATCTCAGCCTTAGATATACATGAGGACTCTATCATCACGGCTCTCTGTGGCAAGGCGTTCCAAAGACACTCAACCCTCTGAGAAAAGAAATTCCTCCTCATCTCAGTCTTAAATTGGCACTCCATAATTCTGAGAGTACACCCTCTGGTCCTAGACTCTCCCATTCAGGGAAATATCCTCTCAGTCCCTGAAGAAACATAAACATCACAATGAAAATTGCTTCTCATTCTTCTAAATTCAAATGAGTACAGGCCCAACCTGTTTAACCTTTAATCTTATATTCCTCTATACCAGGGATCATCCTAGTGAACTTTCTCTGAACTGCCAGAGACAGAAAGTGAGGCAGTCCAGAGAAGGTTCACTGGGCTGCTGCTGGGTATGGAGGGACGGACCAAAAACAGGCTGAATGGATTGAGCCTGTACTCATTGCAGTTCAGAAGAATAAGAAACAGCTCATTGAAACATACAAGATTCTTGGGGGTTGACAGGGTAGACGTAGAAAGGTTGTTTCCCCTTGTGGTAAAGTTAGGGCCAGAAGGCATGATGCTTGTGCAAGACACAGCTGAGAATAAATTTCTTCTGAATGTAATGAATCTGTGGAGTTCTTTAACACGTCGAGTTGAAGAGACTGGGTTATAAATGTTCAAGGGTGAGAAAGGCAGATTTTTGTTCAGTAAGGGAAACCAAGGTTATGGGAAAAAGGCAGGAAAATGTTGCAGAGATAGAGAGTAGAATAACACTCCACAAAGGCCAGTATCCCTTCATCAAGTCACCCTTTATTTACACATAGAGAGTCCTTGATACTGGTCCAGCTCCCTCAGAGCCAGCTTTCAGAGTGAACAAGATGTCTGACACTCCTGTCCTTATCTTTCAGCCAGGGCTCCCAGATTGGACCTGATGAACAGTCCTAATCAGGGAACTCATTCTATGAGGTTCACCTGGCTGACCATGTTACAATCACCACAGAAAGAGTAAAATAAAAAGATAGATAAGACAAGTAAAAAGTATAGGAAGTTAAGGCTTACAGAGGATGCAAAAAACATACAAGAATCGTTCTAGGGATGAGAAACTTCAGTTGGTGAAGTTGGGTCTGTTCTCGTTGCATAAGAAAAGATCAAGAGGAGATTTGATAGAAATTTTCAACGTCATGAGGGGTTCTGACAAGGAGAAACTGTTCCCATTAGTGGAAGGAAAGAGAATCGGAAGACGCAGCTTTAAGATAAAAGAAGCAATGGATAAATAAGGAAAACCTTTTTATGTAGCCAATGGTTAGGGTGGGAAATGCACTGCGTGAGAGTGTGCTGAAGGCAAGTTCACCTGAAGCATTCAAGAGGAGGTTAGAATATTATCCAAAAATAGGAAGAATGGGAAAAGCTATGGGGAGAAAGTGGAAGAGCAGCTCTTGGTGAATTATTTTTCCAACAAGCCTTCTTCCATCCTGTAACCATCCTATGGTTCTACAGTGGATAGGTAGAGAGGACACATACGGTAGATAGAATAGATTGGACAGGTGGGTCAGAGGGGATAGATAGGTAGAAGGAGGAACTACAGAAAGAAGATCCACAATAAATACATCATAAAATTTGGAGTAATCGAAAGAACAAAAAAGTGTTTATCAATTGATATCTAGGTGCATTTGCCTCCATGTGTACATGGTATATCACTCTGTGGAATATGTCTGGGCCACCTACTGAAGACAATATGGAGATTTGTCTGAAAAGCCATCTCTGAGATATTACTAACACCAAGCGTTCCTGCAAATCTTTGAAATGTAACCATTCAGATCATAATTTTTCTCATATATGAATTGTTTGAAAGAAGGGACATCTAATTAACCACATTTGCTGGACTGCTACCTTCCTGTTCCACTACTCATTAGATGGTACTTTAAGCCTATACCTTCCCATGCCTGGAGGTGAAGTCAATTACAAACTGACAGACTTTTATAAAAGCAGCTACCATGGCAATATTATGCTGAGGGTGGGATGTATGCTCCGCAGTGGAAGGAAATCCCGCCCTCAACAGCTGCTCTCAGATTTGATTGACCAGAAAGCTCTTGCTGTCCCAGAAGAGAGTAGTGGGCAGTGCTGGAACTGCAAGGAAGTGTCCTTGACTCTGGCCACTGCGCAGCATATTAAGACAATGGAGGAAAATTTAGGTTCTTGACTGGCTGGCTATCATCTTTTACAATCATTACCCACCCACGTCCACCCCTACCCCACCGAAAAAATTCCCAGCAAGTGCCCATAAAATCCAGTCCACGAACCCCAGCATCTCTGAGCATGATTATTGTTTGAGTCAGTTTACAACACCCAATTAATTCTATGCGGGAACATTCTTTAGGCATATAGAAATAAACAGGGCATGAGATTGTGCCTCAATTGTCATTATTCAGTATTGAGGTAGCTCAGCTGTCTTAAGACAAAGCAAGTACTGTTAGGTGTAGTCCTTCTTTCTTGAAGAAAATTTTGCCAGGTTAATGCAAATATTATCAGTTAATATAAAGGATTAGTAAGTTTACTGATGGCACAAAGTTTGGTGGAATTGTGGATAGCAATGAGGACCGTCAAAGGATACAGCTGGATATAGATCGGTAGGTGACTTGGGCAGAGAGATGGCAGTTGGAGTTTAATCCAGAAAAATGTGAGGTAATGCATTTTGGAAGGTCTAATCCAGATGGAAAATATACAGTAAATGGCAGAACCCTTAAGAGTACTGATAGGCAGAGGGATCTGGGTGTACATGTACACAGGTCACTGAAACTGGCAACGCAGGTGGAGAAAGTAGTCAACAAGGCATATGGCACGCTTGCCTTCATCGGCCGGGGCGTTGAGTTTAAAAATTGGTAGGTAATGTTACAGCTTTATAGAACCTTAGTTAGGCCATATTTGGAATATTGTGTTCAATTCTGGTCGCCACACTACCAGAAGGATGTGGTGGCTTTGGGGAGGGTACAGAAAAAAATTTACCAGGATGTTGCCTGGTATGGAGGGCATTAGCTATGAGGAGAGGTTGGAGAAACTTGGGTGGTTCTCACTGGAATGACGGAGATTGAGGGGCGACCTGATAGAGGTCTACAAGATTATGAAGGGCATGGACAGACACAGTCAGAAGCTTTTTTCCCCAGGGTGGAAGAGTCAGTTGCCAGGGGCCATGGGTTTAAGGTGCGAGGGGCAAGGTTTAAAGGTGATTTACAAGGCAAGTTCTTTTTTTTTTTTTTACACAGAGGGTGGTGGGTGCCTGGAACTCACTGCCGGGGGAGGTAGTGGGAGCAGATACGATAGTGACTTTTAAAGGGCCTCTTGACAAATATATGAGTAGGATGGGAATAGAGGGACATGGTCCCCGGAAGGGTAGGGAGTGATGGGCAGCATGTCAGTGCAGGCTTGGAGGGTTGAAGGGCCTGTTCCTGTACTGTAATTTTCTTTGTTCTTTGATTCTCCCCTTATTGATGATTATAAATCATATACACATTACAAAACATTATAAAATTCTCTGAGGGAATGTATGGACTCTGGCAAATTAACCCATTTCCTCACATCCTGTAGTACAATAGAGACTGAACCGTCACATATCTTACCACTAAATTTGTCAATGACTCATGAAAATGTTCACACACTTCTGAAGAGTGGTTTATCCTGATAAACTATAAACACAACTGTATCTTCCAGGAATTTCCTTGTGCAATCAAAATAACATTGTTTACAGCTTGTAGTGGAACACAGAATTCTCAAAAGACTGCATTCACACTCTAATACAAAACAGCAATAGCTGTTCAGTATAATGAATATTCCCCCTTTCACCTTTTAAATAGGTTCACAACAAGTGCAGAAAATGGCAACTTGGACCAAGTAAATTGTGGTATTGGAATTCACGGAGGTCCACACTCATTCTGATAATGTTATTCTTCTGAAAATCAGATGGTAAAGGGTAGAAATGGTATCAATCTTTTATAAGCATTTATGAGCAGAAACACATTTTATAAGCATATCCCAACAGCCATTTTACCAGTATGTTTCCACCAAGAAGTGTGCAAGTGATTCCCCAGTGTTCACACAAATTAAATATAATTAACATACACTAATCTCCAT